TAAAGAGCTTTTGTTTGCATTTCTTGTCGTGACACTAATTTTAAGCATTCCTTATCAAATGAAGAGTGGAGGAGAGCAGACGAAATATGCATTTTTTTACAACCATTTGCAATGATTACAACTTTGATTTCTGGCACATCTTATCTAATCTCAAATATGTATTTTGGACAAATAGCAAAAGTTGAGATTTTGTTGAATGATGCCATTAGCAATCGTGATCCTGTGATTTCTAATATGGCAACTAGAATGAAAGATAAATTTAACAAGTATTGAAGTGATTATAGTATGATCCTTTCAATTGGAAGTATTTTTGATCTATGAGCAAAGCTTGAAGCAATCAAGTATTCTTTCTCTTTGATTGATACTGTGGATTACTACATGAAAGTTAATAATATCAAACAAAAGTTATACTATATCTTTGATCAATACAAAGAGATGGGTGGATCTTCCATTAATGTCACATTAAGTTCAACTCCAATACAAAGCCAACCAAGCTCAAACACAAGTAGAAGGATGGTAGAGAAGAAGAAGGAACCAACCATGTCTTGGACTCAACTTTATGGTGTAAGTTCTTATTTATCTAATGCACATTGTCTCATTACTATTGGTTTATAATCCCTTATTTGATACTTTTTGTTTTATTGTTAAAATATAGAATTTTCTTAATTTCAAGAGTAATGATGTTTCTTCTATTGAAAAATCTAAACTGGATTATTATTTAGAAGAAGCTTCTCTTGATGGTCACTAATTTCTAGAGTTAGATGTGTTACATTGGTGAAAGACTAATCAACAATGATTTTCTAATCTTTTAAAGATGGTATATGATATTTTAAGTATTTCAATCACTATAGTAGCTAGTGAATCAACTTTTAGTATTAGTTCTCGTGTTCTAACAAAGTATCATTCTAACCTTCTTTTAGATAATGTGCAAGCATTGCTTTGTACCCGAAATTAGTTACATGGTTTTGTGCCACCTTTATGTGGTAATTTTTGTTTTGTGAAATGTTGTCTTGTGATATATGTGAGTGTGTTTATTTAATAATAACACAATTTTGTTCATTTTTATTGTAGGTGAGGAAGATGTGATTAAAAAGTATACTGGCATTAAAGCCCCCCACCTTCAACAAGTGGACCTACTTGTAAGAGTTCTCATGTTTTATTTGTAAATGATGAGGATGAGGAGGATTTGGTTTTGATTGATGAATGTTTGTTGTTTAATTTTTAAAAGATTGTGAGGATTTTAATTGTTTTTAATTTCAAAATATTATAATTAATTTATAATTTGTAATTTTATTTTAATTTTTTAGAATAGGGCTTTCAAGCCCGACCCTGAATCCCGAACATAAGGGACGGGCCTCAAAAAAGGGACTGAAAATAGAGAACCGAGCTTAAGGGCTAGACTCGCTCGTATTCCAACTCTACTTGCACCCAAGTCAGAACTCTTACACCCTCTAGTTGTTGAGTTTACATGTAATTTTTGATGATTACACATAAATCAAGGGATGTTGATTTTTTCCTACGACACTTTTCGATAACCCTTCACTAGCTTGCTGGAGCTTTGGTAGGCACACTATCACCTAGTGGAAGAGGGGCTTAAGCTCTAATAGGCAGATTTTGTGCTTTTTTAAAAAAATGAATTAACATAAAAGGATATTTTGGTCATTTGGTCAAATTATTTAATGAATAAAATATTTATTTAGCAATGTTTTCTAAAATTTCAATACATAAATTGGCCAAAATAATATTTTAAACACACAGTTAAAAAAACTTGATGAAATGATATGATTTAATATAATAAATTATTCAATATAATTTATATCTATTCTTTTAATTGTATTAATTTAACAAAAAATTTAAAATTAGTTATTTAAATAATGATGCAATTATTTAAAATTTTAAAACTATGTGAAAGAGTAGACAATTAAATTATAAGGGTAAAATAATAATTTTAATAATGTTAACATAATTACAAATAAAAAACTGAGTATTTTTGAATCTATAACTGAATATAAGACATCTCTAACTTACATCCTAAAAATTTATTTTCTTTAAATACACTTATATGCAATCAATATGCAATCAACCACTTGTTTAACACTTACTATAAAAGAAAAATATCTACCATAATAATTTGAAGTAAAGTATACTTTCGAATCACTATCTAATTAAATAAAAGACTTATTATGGTAAAAAGAATAAAAATTATCATTTCAAATCCTTACCATGATAAAAAAGAGTTTACCATGATGAATAAGAACCAAAACATTTAATGGAAACTTACTATGATAGAAAAGATTTTTTTTTAATAAATCAATCTCACCATGAAATCAACTATCATGATAGAAAAAGATCTATAAAGACAATAAAAAAGTTTAATATTTCAAAGTAAGCCTACCATGATAGATAATGAAGAAAACTTAGTTGAATATTTAGTACCACAAATGAGATCCCAAAAGAATAAATAATTAAAATCTCAAAAGATATTTTAAAACTCTTATTTTAGTAAAGAATGGTTCCCAGGGGAAAATTTGTCTAAAATCAAGTTTAAAGAGAGTAAAAGAGTAACAAAGGACATTTTTAGAAACATTTAACAAAAAGGAGCAATTTCAAAAAAATCAGGGCCATCCGCCGTATCGCATGCCATCCGTGTAACATCCCAAAAATTACTCCCTTGATTAATTAAGTTAATGAAAGGTAACTATGTAAATTTAAGTATAAATGGGCTTAACGATAGTTAGAAACAGCTATTAGGTTTAGCTTTAGCTTTTAGATTGGGTTCAAAAGTGAATTGAGTCACTCAAGTTCAACTTATAGAGAAAAATTAGATTTTAGCCCACTGTGTATTATGTTGTAGCCTAAAAACGTACACTATAGCATAATTTTTAGAACTAGCTTTTTTTTTTTAAATGTGAAAACATCTGAAACAGGGAGAAAGGAGTTGCTTTGCTAGGGCATCAACTTTTAGGCATTTTAAAGATGATTAGAGCTTAATTTTACTTAGATATACCTTTTTTAACTATGACTGATCATAATGTTTAAACTCTAATCACACACTAATCTTAGAATTAGGTTAATTAAGCTTCTTAATCTAAACACTCCCATACACCTCCATCATCATACTTAGTCTCATTAATCTTTATTATACTCCTCATGTACAGAGTTAACCTCTAGAAATTGAAATCCTCATCAAAATATCACTTTTAAGTCTAGGATTTTGGATTTTTTTCATTCCTTAGCCATAAACAACATCAAAATTATCTAGGTAACATTTATTTATTCTCAAACAACATCTTAAATTCAGATTTAAGAGTTAGGTACCTCTAATAATGAAACCCTAACACTAGAAGTAAATAAACTGTTAAAAAGAGGAAACTAGAGGGTAGAGAAAAGATTGAACAAGCTTCTTTTAATGATTTGGAGCTCTAAATTCGTGCCACAAGGTTGAAAATCTCAAATCCTAATGGAGCCTTTGAAAAAACGCCCAAGGAACACCCACAACCCTCTCTATTAGTTTTGTCACAAAGATAGACTTGTTATTTAAATTTCTATATCATGCGCCATGGCGAACCATACACTGAGGCGCATAACAAAATTGAGACACCAAATTAAAGCCCTAAATTTAGGCCCGATTCAACCCATAACCTTTATTTAGAGCCCATTTAACCATTATATATGTTTCTAGTCCCATTTTAGTCCATGATTAAGTGCCTAAACTATCAATAACCCTCAATTATCCTCAACACAACTTATTTACTCAATCAAACCTCAAGTTGTCAATGTCCCTTATTTAATTTCCTCAATTCAACCTTAACAAAATATAAATCCTAATGTAAAATCCTCAATTATAATCCATAATTCACATAATTAAATTACCTTAAAAACTAGGATGTTATGTTATATAATATTTCTAACAGGGTTTACAATTGAACTAAAGTGTAGGTTTTGAAAATAGAGGGAAGTCTTTGTAATTTAAGCAAAATAAAAGAGAGATCACTATTTTTTAGTCATAATTTTTTGGTTCTATTTCTATTTCTTTTTTATTACTTCTTTATTAAAAAATATAAGATTTTTTTAGAGGTTAAATGTTAAAAAATATATGATATTTTTAATATTTTAAAGTATAATTATTATGCTTTTTTCAAAAGTGTTCACAACAAATAAATTAATTTATATTTATTTTAAAATAAAATATTCTATTAAATAAAAGTAAATATAATTGTATTAATAAAAAAATAAAATTATTGTGTTAATTTAAAAATAATTAATTATTTATTTTATTTAGAGTGAAATTTGATTAAAAAATATTTTATATTTTTAAGAGGAGAGAATATTTGAGCTAAGGGACCAAACTTAATCCGGTTAAAGGATTCACTGATACCAAATATGCACCTTTTTTTTTCTCTTTTTCTCTTTGGGTTCCGTCTATTATGATATTATATCCTTTCCTCCACTTTAAGCCTCGTTTGGTATGATGGAAGAGTTTTTAGTGGAATCAGAATTGGAATTGAAATCGAAATCGGAATAGAATTGAGTTTTAAAAGTGTGTTTGGTATGAAGATGGAATTTGAATATAATATTAAGAAATATATGTATTTAAAATAGATGAAGACCAAAATGTCCTTATAAAAAAATAAAAAATTCAGCCATCATAATGGAGTGTGTATGTGGGGCACTTATGACAATTTTATGGAATTGTGGCAATTCCATCATGATGGAGATGGAATTAAATTCTAGGTATTTTGATAGAATTGAAATCCATAAAGAATTAGATTCATACATACCAAACAATTGAAAGTATAATTTTAATTTTAATTTTATTTCTTTTAAATTCAATTTTAATGTACCAACCTAAGATGATTGTAATTTTAGGCTTTACATCAGTCCCACGAGAAAGGGGAGGGGTTTGATTGTAATTCTAGGCTCTATTCGGAGAAGATGCGGCAGATGCCACGGGGGATGGGAATGACAATATAAAATGGACTCCGAGCTATCGAGTTGCTGGTAAAGTAGCTTTGGCTGTTCACACCGACGAACCTCCCCTCTCCCTCCAAATTTTTCATGTCCATCTTGCCCTCGCAAGCCCAGGCATCAACCTCGTCGTCATCTCAATCTCCGATATCTCCAAACCCTAATCCGCAACATGGAAACCTCTTTCTCTCATCTTATTCTCCTCCATCGGTCCCCTCTCCCCTCCAAGTTCCATCCTTTGGATCTCTCCGGATCTCCGATTCACCATCTCCCGTCACTGTGCCCGACGTCGATTCAGGTCTTAGTTTCATCTTTGCTGGATTTTCTATTTGTCATTCACAAGCTGTTTACAATCAATTTATGTTGTACGCGGGTTTTAATTTCAGCTACCTTATATATTGATTACCGTGATTTGTCACGTGAAAGTGCTTGATGCGCTTGCTTGGCAGATGACATTTAACCTTTTTCGTTAATTTAGTTTCCCCGCTTGGTCCTCGAAAATACTGGGGGAAAGGGGAAGATGTGGCATAAAAAAAAAATAAAGATTAAGTTTCGGTGCCTGTATTGATGCAGTTATCTTTGCCTGACAAATTGAACGCCCTCTTTTCTGGTTCCCCGAATTTCCCACTGATAATGCTCGCGGGGAAGTGTTAGTTTTTGTGTAAAATTGTAGTCCGTCGGGTTTATTCTCTCACATGGCTTTCCTGTTGGTGAAGAAACGTTTACGGTGTCGGGTAGCAAGCATGATCAAGATTTACTTTTCTTTCCCTTTCTTCTTGGTTTTGCGTAGCTACGTGGCTGAGCACCCCCCCCCAAAAAAAAAAACAATATAATTGTCCTAATGCCTCTCTTTCTTCGTCGGACTCTATCCTTGTCATTGGCTTTGACCAACTAACTTATGCATTGCTTGTTTTATATGGCAGGTCCATCGACTCCAGCTACAGAAGATTCTGGTGGACCTTCCGGAAAGGTATTTTGATTTTCATTGTATATAGGGTTTTTTGTATTTGTCACATATCTTTATTAGATGAATCAAGATGCTGATCTCCACCGCTTGACTGATTGAAGCATATGTGGTAACGGAAGCGTAGAATTATATAATGGAGGCTAGGGACGAATTTAGTCAGTGGTATTACTGCCGCCACTAATTCTTTCTCTTCATTTAGTAGGTGACTCAGTCGGGGTTTCCAAGTGGCATGAAAAGTTCACCTCACCAAAACTCCAGAGCACATTCCCAAAGTCAGTCAAGAAGACGGGCAAGTAGATCATTCCCCTCAACAGGGAAGATGGCGGGAGCAGTTTCTTCTGCTGGAGATCAGCAACGTAATAGGTTTTTAAATCCGCATGGGAGCACCTCTTCAGCAGGAAGAAAACCTCAGATGGTTAACGGTAATCACTTGCTGAACTTCCATTATGATCCCATATCTCGTCCTCAAGCAAGGGGTCCTCCTCCTCCACCACCAAGAAGGCAGCAGAAGAAAAGGCCATATAACAAAGACTTATTTTTACAGGCAAATTACAAATTTATGGTTTTAGATTCAGGAGACAATTCACCAGAGTCATTGGACCCAGATAAAATGCTACATTGGGAAGATATTGTTTGTGTGAGGTATTCCACTCCATCTGTGGTTCAGTGTCCAATTTGTTTGGAGTATCCTCTTTGTCCACAAATAACCTCTTGTGGACATATTTTTTGTTTTCCTTGTATCTTGCAATATTTGATGATGGGTGAAGAGGATAGCAAAGGTGATTGCTGGAAAAGGTGTCCCTTATGCTTTGCCATGATATCTGCAAAGGATTTATATACCATCTACATTGAAAATGTTAAGCAATTTCAAGTGGGAGATGTCATTGAGTTCAGACTTTTAACTCGGAAGAAGGACTCCTTTACTCTGTCTCATAAAAATAAACAAGAGACGGATGTCTTATCTTGTGGCAATAGTAATTTATGTGACCCATTTTCTAAGTTCACTCTCACACCAGATGTAGATCTCTCAGTGAGACAGGCAATATCGGATCTAGATGGTTGGCTAGCTAAAGCTGATTCTGGTCTTGTTGATGACTTGGAGAAACTTCCATATGTTTGTGCTGCAATGCAACAGTTAGAAGAGAGGAAGAAGTATTGGAATGAGCACAGGGCTTGTGATGTTGGAAAATCCTCTTGGCTTATTGATTGTGGACGTCAAAAACCATCAACAGTTGTAAATGGCACTGATGTTGATGATGAAACGCATTCTTACGGTTTGGGATCTTCGTCTACAAATTTCCACGACCAAAGCAAGGGTATTGTAATGGATAATTCAAATGCAAAAGCCTGCCCAGATAGAACTTTGGATGTGGAGAGAAAAGTATTAGATCAAGAAATTCATTTATCTTCTTCCTATGAGGAGAAAAATGATATTCGAAAGAATCCAAGTGGTTTTGGAGATCCAAAGGAAGGTGACTCGTACAATTTTTACCAGGTCAACAGTGATTAACATTTTATTTATTTATTTATTTGACTTCAATATTTTTTATTTGGCTTGAAACATGCATTATTTAACTGATTGTTGGTACTGAGGTTTTGTGTGTTGTAGACCCCACTATCATGATAGAAGTGTGAGGAAAGATTGTCTATATCTTGTTTGTGATCAATTAATTAAACTAATGTAGGAAGGTTTTTGATTAGCCGAGTCTCTAAGGAAAGGCAGAAATGGTATCTATTGGAGAAAACAGGTTATAATAATTTATTGACATTGGTGAATGCAGAAGTGTTGATCATTTTTGGGGAAGAATGGAGAAAAAGGGCACTTGTCTTAATTATTTTGATGAAGGCTTGAGATTTGAGGTTGAGACTTAAGATCATAAAGCAAAGAAAGCTGAGGGTGCATTGCAAGTGCAGTGTTTATAGGCAACTGCTGCAGTGTTATTAAACGTGCTGAGGCGAGGTGCCACAAAAGGCACAGTGCCTCTTCAGTGCGCGCAGTATGTATGGGAGACGCTAGCTTTAGTCAAGCAGTGTGCCAGCCTTGGGTGCCTTTTGATGGGCGTTAGGCAACCCTGGCCCCACACGCACCCTTGCAATGTGTTGAATGAGGACAATGTTCTGCCTTCTTTATGCTGCAGGTCCCTCTTTATAATATTATTAGATTTACGCTGCCAGCCCCTCTTAATATTAGGTTTAGGTGTTTAAATATAAAACTTCTTTATATTTAAAATATAAATCTAAGGTATGAAAGTTTTAAACTTAAAATATTATGAGTTCAGAGGATTTTGTGACGTAAACAAATAAATTAAGAGCCAAAGAGGGACCACTAGAGCAACCATCTAACAATACAGAGTATGAAGTCCAAACAACACTCAGGATTTTGCAGCACCTTGCACCATTTTGGCAGGCCCTTTCTAGCGACTCTTTCCTCAAGCATTTTAAAGGTCTAGAAGCTTGAGGGCATCTTTTGCCTTTGACTAAGTTGAACTACAGAAGAAATGAGATGGCATCAAGGAACTATACTCAAATGTTATCAATTAAATGCGTTTCTTTAACTCCAAAAAAATGGATTTCATGATTGTCAAATGTTGCCTTATTGAGTGTATAATTTATATGTCTTAAGGTTTTTTGAGGTCATATCCAAAGATAAGTAATATCTTAGTTGTTTGCAAAATCCTTGGTCACTGATTTTGGTATTTTGCTTTATGCATCAACGTCTGAGATAGACAAGAGTGCATGCGATTCTAGAGTTTCTATTTTTGTTTTATTTTAGCTCTCCTGGACAGCTTTATACAATACACATAAAACCTTTCCATTATATCGATGATATTTGTTTGTTGCCATAATATGCTCATTCAGCCATTCCATTTCAGGCTGCTGATGGTCAGCATCTCATTCTGCATCCCCTGAACATGAAGTGTCTACTTCACCATTATAGAAGCTATGATATGCTTCCACACAGGTTTGGGGAAAGTTAATTCATATTCCTCCCATGTGCTTAAAGGTGTATTAGAAGTAAGCTTTAGAAGTATCAAAATTATTGTAAAGAGAACATGTCTACTGATGATGTTTAGGACAAAATATAATTGCCCTAGATGGAATTTTTATGGGCTATAAATTGTCGAACCTTAGGAATAATTTTGGCTGTTTAAATACATTAGCTTGATATTGCTAGGTGCAATTTTCATATATATATGAAACCGTATTTGAACTTCAAAACTTTCTTGTATTGATGGGAATAGTTATTCTTGGACCTATGTTTTATTTAGATTTTCCCTTGTGATTTCTGTATCATTGTTTCTTTGGCATTGCCCCTTGAGTCGTTGACTTATTGCTGTGTCTTGAGGTGCTCGTCATTATATATTTTGGTGGGGGGGGGGACAAAGCCATGCTAAGAACTAAAATTTTATTTGTTGGGTTGGCAGGTGATGGGTTTGAAATTATTTTTTGTATATAAAATTGATTTAGTTGCTCGTTCAAAGGATCATCAGACTTGGTTATTTTTTACCCCCTATAATCAATTGTTAACCAGATTAAAATTGATTGCAGAATAAGTGGAAGGATTCTGCAATTGGAGACAGTCACTCAGTCAGAGGCAACGAGGAGGCGGTACCGATACTTGAGTCATTTTCCTTTAACAGCAACATTTCAGGTGCTTTTAAACAATGTCCTCCCCGCTTCCCCTTTCCCTTTTCAATTAAAGAAAGAAAGATTTTTTTTTTTTTGGGTATATGATACTATGAATTCTAATTAGTGGTTGCCTGAATTTTTTAGCTTTGTGAAATTGATTTGAATGAGATGCTGCCCCCTGAGTCCCTGGCCCCATTCATGGATGAATTGAAGAAGCGTGCAAACCAGAGGAGGCAACTTGCAAAAAAGGTGGTGTCCTTGAGCTCTTTTTTTTTTTTGAGCCAAACCTCCTTGAGCTCTATATATATGTGATATTCAATATATTATCTGGTTTGTTAATATGTTATAGTAGAATGGAGTACTAATGATTGAGTGGCATTCTTAATGCATATATGAAAAGATATGTACCAACCTGTGTTGTTTTTGCTGAATAGAATTTTATTTCTATTATAAATGAATTCTTATATGAAACTTGTTTGATTGATGTTAGTTTAAGAATTTATTAATGGAAAAATCATGTTGAATGTGGCATCTGATGATATGTAGCAGTGTCCTATAACCTTCGATAGGATTTGTCAATCATCTGACGTTCTTCAAATGCCTCTCAATTATATAGTTAGTGTTCCAAACACCAGTAAATAAGATTGTAGACTGAAGATGATTTTTGGAAACTTATCCGGGGAAAGTGCTTTTTCTATTGTCATTATTTGTTTTCCTTTCATTTGTAAAGCTTTCCCATTTTGTCTGCTGTGCAAGTGGGGGAATTTTGGGCGTGAAAGAAGCCTGTTCAGGCTTAGTCCTGGACAAGTTTTATGCTTGTACCAGCTCAAGTCTGGGTTTAACACATAACCAGAATCATGTTTAGGATTACAAACTTGGGGTCTGCCTCAGGTCTATAATACGATTCTAGTGTCTCCCAAAAGCTGGCCAGTGCTTCTGTATTGGTTGTCTGCCTGGCCCTGGAGTGGGTTTCATGGTGAATGTTATGCATTATTACCTTGTCATATATGTATTTTATATGTCTGTTTTTTGGTGTCTAAAAGTTTTAACTTGCACATTCCCATCTCTTTAGAATCATATTATTCATATTTCTAGGAACGAAAAGAGAAAAGCAAGGCTGAAGCTGCTCCTACGCATTCTATTCCCATACCAACCAGTTCTCAGCTAATGTCTCAGAACAATTCTCCTCCATTCTCGATGGATGACTTTGAAGGTAATCCTGCTTTCTTGGAGTTGGATAAGGTAGCTTTAGAGTGAATGAACTTGAGGTCGCATTTGTGAAAACTATAATTTTGGCTTTGGGTATCAGAAAAATGAGTGATCCTTGTGCACTGCAGTTTTTGAGACTGAGCATGAATATGAATCCAATCTTGTTATTGGACTGAGTCTAATTTCTGTGTTTTCCCTTGTTTAGTTTTGGGGAATTCTGCTGTATCATCAAGTCCTCCTGTTGTTATGGGGAGAAGCTTGTTTTCAAATGTTACAAGACTTGGTTTTGCCGCTGGTCATGATTCCCCATCCTTGAACTTTCAAGAAACTAATGGCCTACATAATCATAATACGACAACTGATTCTTCTGGCTTGACAGGTATTATCTGATGATAGTTTGTTGTCTATTACTAAAAATCAACCTTCTATGTCTAAATGTGTTTTTGGTTCCTCTTTTACTGTTATGTTCCTGCAGGTCTGAGAAATGTGGAGACATCATCATTTGCCAATGTTATATCTAGAGCGGAGTCAATAACTAGCTTAAATGCACCCAAGACAAGTGACTTGGGTAAGAAGGGGAAGAAACCAACTAGAGTTCTCATGTCAACAGCCGGGGGCAGGCGTTACTAACCGTTACGTTGGGAGTTTTGGATATCTCGTCATTTCACTAGCCTGCTAGTTTGTTACCCTGGAAGTGGTTGTCGCGTTGGGATTATGTCGCTTATCAACCTTTCCAATTTTAATGGATAACCCGTATTTCGTGTGAAGTTAGACTTGTAGATTGCTAGACTGTTGCAAACAAGAATAAATGTTTTCATCCAGACACAAGACATGGCAGTTTAAGTTCAGTTGAATGGGTCCTTGTGTTGTGTTCTCAAAACGCTTCCTCTAGTCTCTAGAAAGTATCTCAATACTTTTTCCCCCCTTCTAATACAACACTCTTGAATACTTTTGAGTACAGAACATTTATTGGGCTGAGCCCGGCGCGTGGGGAGTGCTGAAGAATGGAAATGCTTTGTGGGGTTGCAAGGCTGAGTGAAATTCGGCCTCGATTTGTTGCTGTTGATTTGCTTAGGTGGGGGATGATGCTTTTGAAGCTGGATTGGCCAGTATAATCCGTTAATTTTTTGTTTGGAGGAATAAGGGGTTGCATTAACGCTAACATTCGGTAGAAAAATTATTATAGCGACTTTAATAGGTAGTGCTTAATTAATAAAGGTGTTTGTTTTATAATTTGCATGGTCATAAAATTAGTTCTTGTGGTCAATATGTGAATTTTGTTGATGGGAGTAAGTATTTTTTGTGAGCATTCTTGAAATTCAACCTGATAAGTGTTTGGGGTTCAAAATACCTAAATTTTTGTTTTAAAAAATAGTGCTTAAGTTTTTATTTGCACCCTCTTCCTAGAATTTCCTAAAGCTGAGTGATGTATTGCTTTTATATTAAGCGAAATATACTTACAAACGCATTATTATGTTAGGATCTGAATAACAGAACAGTTTTCAACATATAAAGAGGCTAGTAATTGAACATTGGAGTGCAGAAGTTGACATTGTAATGTCGATGAGCGTAAAGGACTAGTTTATTTTCAAGAAAAAATAAATATAATAAACAATCTGTTAGCAACATGAGAATCTGCTAAAATAAATACAATAAGCAACTGTCACTTGTAGTGGCCATATTCTCTAGTGTAAACGTGAATTCCAGGCGTTCTTGTTTGTTATTGTCATAGCCTTGTGCGTCAATACCGCCGTAATTCCAATAATTATTAAATTAGCTAGCTACTAGGTAGAGAGTAGAAACTGAAGGGGTCTGATCAACCCATGGATGAAATATTGTGTGAGCAAGCAGCATGCAAAGAATCTAGGCAGTCTGGTTCCAAGTGCCAAAATGGCGTAGAGACGCCACTGTCCTTTGTTCGCTGAACGCAAGAAGCTACAATCCGATGAGAGAATGAAAGAAATTCAGCTCTAGGGATCTACTCATACCCATTATAATGTTGCCTTTGAAACAGAGTCGTGAAACCTGGCATCTCAATTAAACTGGCCACCACGATCCCAGGACCATCAGCCAAACCTGCTACAATCTCAACAATCTGATATTGACGAGAAGTGAAGTCTGATTGATCCCATTTGCTATTCCAACTCTTGTACATAGCCCAAACCTCACCTTTCTGTGGGTATATCCTGAAAGAGGAATCTAAATCTTCTTGGGTTCCCTCACACTTCATTGCATGAGAAAACTGATCTAACCCCAATACTCTAGTGGTCTTACCTGCACCGAATGAACCACAGCCAATTGGGAGACTTTGCTCTGTCCAGTGTTTCTCATCAGTCCACGTGAGATTAGGCTCTAAGAATGTTACACGGATCTTACCTTCCGGAGCTACATTATTCGCTGTAACATATCTCGGAGGAATAGCTTCTAGATCATCACGAACAGCCCATATTTGATTGCAAGCAAAATCTTTCAAGGACCATTTATAGTGTCAAATGATGTAGTTTCTGAATCTGATCGAGCCTTGCATGTTATTGACTTAGGGTTGCCTAGACCAGAGGGAACTGCATACGGATCAAGCTCAAACTTGCCATCCATGTCTTCCCCAACAAATCTATGTGCCGGAATCCTGTGAGAAAACTTCTATAAATTTTCTGAGGGAATTGATAAAAACTTCTCTTGGCAATTCTCCTTTTGTCTTCTAAAGACATTTTTTTGTCCATCTACTTCGACCAATCTTGCAGCAAGCATGTTTCGTGACTCTGTGTATCATGTAAGGATTTCAACCACTTCTAGCCTGGAGCTTTTCCTAGCTTCATCATTTGAGAACCTTATCATAGGATCCCGCTCTCTGTACATTGCCCAAACCTCTTGTTCTTTGGGGAAGATTAGGACTTGCTCACAAGCATAACCAAAAACAACGTGAGAAAGCATAGCTGGTACAATTATTTGATCCTTACTTTTATCCACGTTGAATTGCCCGCAAACAATAGGCAAGCCCATCTCATTTCTGAACAACTCGTGCGAAGAGAGTTGAGCAGCTCTTAAACAGTTAACATGTAATCTCAGGGAACTCTTCTCGACCTCTTCAATCCGAAAGTAGCTTCTTGGCATGCATTCATGATCATAAGCTGCCCAAACTTGGCCAACATTGAAAAGCTCAGAACTTTCGATGCTATTGATGCTATTAGAAGGCCTTGTTGCTGCAAAATTGACACCTCCCTTGACACATGCCTTTTCATTTCTAAACAAGCTCAAACAAGAATTTTTGGATCTGCACAAGTTGACAGTTCCACTCTTGGCTTTGTAAGTAGCCACTGTTGACTTTGTAGGAGTTGAAGGTATTTCGTTGTTTTCAACAATGTGTCCTGCCAGTGAAGTATCATGTATTTTCTGGACATTCTGAACTCCACAAGCTTCGCAAATGGTGTTCCTCTTCTTATCAAACTCTCTGCGTTTTTCCGGGTTTGAAAGAACAGAGTATGCTTCCTCAACGATTTCCAGAGCAGATTCAGCTGCAGGAGTGCGGATCTTAATGGGTTTTAGAAGGCTTGAAATTTTATTATATTGGAATTCCACATCTTTTTCAGAAGCTGCTTGTGGAACTTGAAGAATCAAGTACCAGTCATTTTCACCTTCTATGAAATCATAACTTGCTGAGTTTAAAACCTCACAAAGAGTGATCATACTTAAGAATTCATCATTGGCTGGAAACTGTCTCTGTAGTTTTAGTAATTGATCTCTGGCAGTAATGTGATCATCCCTCGCCAACATTTCTTTAACCGCTTCTAGTTCTCGACAGGCCTTCGGTGTTATGCCATCCATCTTTCCTGGAGCCTATAGGATTTCTTTTCAAACTCAGTTTTGGGCAGTGAAATTGAAGTGAAAAAGAAATAGAAAACCATAAAAAGAAAGAAAAAGAGACAAACGATGAAAGAGTTGGTTGAGTGAACAAAGATTTTGTCAAATCGAGAGAGGAAGGGTAGATATTGATATAACGCTTAGTTGTTGTGAGGAAATGACTGGGCAATAAAACTTATTCGTTCTCATTCCTGTTAGTCTTCTTCATTCTTCAGTTTGTTTCTTTCTGGTGAATGATAAGCTCAACTATGCTTAAACACTCAAATGTAATGCCATTCTTCAATTAGGAGTTTCTGCCTGTGATGCTAGAAAAGTAGTCCCAATGGAATGGATCGTACGAGAGAAAGGGGAGCCTCAGTCCACAAGCTTTGAGTGAATTTTCAATTGTTTATCTTGACTTCCAGAATTTGTCACACGCTAGGCGCATAATGACATGTTTGGACATATCTTTGTGTTTCTCTTGGTTAAGAGGCAGGGTAATTCTCTGTATATTACTGCACTATTTTCATTTTGTGGATCACTTTGTACTTCTGTAGTAATTTTATTCACATTTGCGTCATTAATTAAATATCAATCCTTCGAAACTATTGTCTATCTCGGTGATGATGAAGAGATTGAATTTGTTCTTAAAGATCACTCTAAAAAGAGATGAAGACATGCGGTATGCTCTTTCTGTATCAGAAGAAGACATGGATTTTTCTGATGATGGACAATATTTTCCAATGTATACTATTAGTCCCTTCAGGGTCAATAAAATCTTGCAGCCAACTTTTTTCACCATACTGAAACCCTCCAGCCTAACATTAAAGGTCAAATTCTACCTAGTAAATATGATAAACCCATTTTAGCTACTGCTTTCATTGACACTAGTTCTTGTAGAACTGTCATGAAATCCTACATCCTTTCTAAAGAAGAATGAGTTCCGCATAATGAGTATTTCACCATCGTTGACAAAAAACTATTCAAGATGAAAGCATACTATCAAAAGAAAAATTGATATAAGAATTTTTCCTGAATACATTGTTTGGACAAAACTCTTTGGAAGCAATCTACTCACCAAATACATCCTTGTTGGTTTTGTTGTTTATCAACAAACAAGGAATCTATAGATACTTCCTAAAGGATTAAATTTTAAATAGTTCTTCGTTAAATATACCAATATTCCAAGTATCCTAAAGATTCAACAAGCTTCTCTAGGTTATAAAGAAATTAGAGATTAACTCTTTTAATTTTATTGTGAAAGCCATGATTAGTTTGAACATCCATTTTCTCTGTGGAAAAACGAAGAGTGCTTTATCAAACTTCCATTAAGAAGAATAAGAATATCAATTCCATAAAGGCATCTCATCCTGGTATGAATTTAGAAGATCTTGCATTAGCATGACAAGAGTGTACAGCTTTACTCAAATAAAGGCTCATAGAACCAACCAAGTTAGATTAGACTAGTCAAGCATTATATGTTGAGAATAGAAAAACAAAAAGGAAAAAAGAGGCTGGTTATTAATTATAAGCCTCTCAATACTTTTCTTTAAGATGATAAGTTTCCTCTACCCAAGATCAATACTCAGTTAGTCCATCTAAAGCGAGCTAAAGTATTTTCAAAGCTTGATCTTCAAGTAGGTTTCTAGAAACTGAGAATTGATCCAGCATATTGTTACAAAATTTCTTTCTACATTCCTAATGCCCAATACCAATGAATAGTCATGCCATTTGGATTTAAGATTGTCCCATCACCATTCCAAAAGGCTATGATCTGCATCTTTTAGCCCATCATCAAAAGTACATTGGTGTATATTGATGATATTGTTGTTTTTAGAAATCGAACAGGAACATAAAGACTTACTAACCCAATTCTTTAAAATAATTCAAACCTATAGGATTATACTTTCAATCCATAATGGTCACATAATGCGACCTAGATAGAATTCTTGGGTATGATTATCCTAGATAGACAATATCAACCTAGCCCAAATATTACTTAGGAATTATTGAATTTTCCAAATAAAAACTTATTGGTAACATAAATTCAACAATTCTTAGGAATCATGAACTACATCAAGGATTTTATTCCTCCAATGTCCAATCATGCTAGCTAGCTATCCATGATACTATGAAAAAATTCACCACCTTGGGGAATCAATCAAACCAAAGCTGTTCAATACCTAAAGAAGATATCACAACTTTCTCCACCACTAAGATCCTTGATAAAGGACAAAAAACCTACAGACTAATGCAAGTGATGATTTTGTGGAGCTGCGCTCATTGAAAAAGAAAATAAAAAAGATATTACAGTAGCCATGCAAGCGAAGAATTCCAAGAATCTAAAAAGCATTATCACATAGCCTACATAAAAGTCCTAACTATCAAATGTAGCA